CAGGAATGTGAGAAATCACCCCCAGGGGAGATGGCTATGCCACAGTCCCTTCTCCTCCATTCTCTTCTCAGGATTCTGGGCACGCTCACACATGTACCTGACATGATTTTCAAGTTGCCAGGGCTTGAACAGTGGTCGGCCATGGGGGAGCCCAGTGTCTTAACCACCGTGCTGCCTGCTGGCTCTCAAATGATTTTTAAACTGCAATGGGACATTGTGAAAAAAGCTGTTAATAATTTGACTACAGATATGGCAAAGGATATACTGAAGATGTTAATGTAAAATTTTGTCTAAATGAATTTATTTCAATAAAAACAAAGCTTACTTTCCTACTTTGATCTATTTAGAAGACAAAAAAAATAAACATAAACAAATTAATTTTTCCACATAAATCAAAGAGAAGACGTTTTACCTGGTGAACTCCAGGACATTGAGCAATTCGTATCTTTCCTCCTGCCCCAGCTATGAAAAAAAGGAATATGCGATTATACAGTTGGAAATAGCTTAGGTTTCTTGGAAATCAAACCTAGTCACAAAATGTTATAGTAAAAAAAAAATCCCCAAACAAATTTTCCCTTCTGAAATACAGCATGGAAATGATTAACTCTCAGGAAATAAAAAGTCTGAGAGTCCCCAAACAAATTTTCCCTTCTGAAATACAGAATGGAAATGATTAACTCTCAGGTCTGAGATATAGGAAATAAAAAGTCTGAGAAAGAAGAAAACTAAAAGAATCCCAATAAAACCAGACAGGGCAATGGAGGCTTCGAGGACACCGTAAGGAAAGGACAGCCAACAGACGGGCTATCATGTGTGAGCGCTGTGAGGAGCCCTTCTAAGAAGGTATGGAGAACGAGTAGTGATGGACACAGAGTGAAGCAATGTAAAAAGGAAGAGGATTTATCTTTAGAAAACAATTAGTGAGGGGACCAGCAGGTGGCGTGGTGGTTAAGGTGCTGGACACTCCTACATGGCCCACCACAGTTCGAGTCCGGGACCTAGTGGCTTGCTTCTCACTTCTCTTCTCTCTCTCTCTCTTTTGTCTCTCTCTGATCAAATTAAATGAATGAATAAATAAAATTAAATAATTCTTAAAAAAAAAAAAAAGAAAACAATCACGGAATACAACGATGTCAGGATATGGGTCCAGCTGTAATAAAAACACTTAATAATGATTTTGAAAGGACACAGAATTTATATACAATAAACAAATCTCCAGTCCAGTGCACTTAAAACTGTGTAAGCTGACAGAAGTAGGGTCTGTGGGACAACCACCCCAGGCAAGATATGGAACATTCCCACCACCCCGTAAATTCCCTGTGCCCTTTTCTAACCTATCTTGCCCTGCCCGGAGACAATACTGTTCTGAATTCTGTCATCATAAATCACTTTTGCCTGATGTCAAGTTGCATATAAATGAAATGAAAGAAGAAGCACTCTTCTGTGTCAGGTCTTTTTTTCCCCCTTAACATAACATTTTTGAGATTCATCCATGCTGGTGTTGAATTAATAACTCACTCTTTTCTGCTTAGTTTTCACTTACTCCATTGTGAGCTATATCACTGTCAATAGCCTTTCTACTATGAAGGACATGTGGCTTGTTTTTGGCTACTCAGAGAAAAGCTGCTACAAATATTCTGCCCCAAGTATCTTTTTTTTTTTGAAAGGTTTTTGCTATAGGGCGTGTGTGCTTGCCAGAAAGAGAGAGAGACAGAAAGCGAGAAATCACCCCCCCGGGGGATGGTCACGCTGCAATCCCTTCTCCTCCATTCTTTTCTCAGGGTCTTGGGCATGCACGCACATGCGCCCGGCATGACTTTAAGCCACCAGGTTTGGGACTCGAACCACGGTTGACTACATGGGAGTCCAGCAACATAGCCATGACGCCAACTGCTGGTCCCCTGTCCCAAGTATTTTTGTGGACAGAAACTTTCATTTTTCTTCTGGGCATCTCCAAGTACTATTATCACTGCGTCAAGTCAAAGTTTACCTTTATTAGAAAACTCTAAAAGGTTTTCCAAAGGGATTGTACCACTTTACACTTATATTAGCAATATACAATTGTTTTATTTGCTCTATATTCTCATTAACATTTGGTACTATCAAAGTATTTTTTTTTTTACTTTATTTAATTTTATTTATTTTTTTTAATTTGTGCATTCACCAGAGAGAGATGAGAGGGAGACAGAAGAAAAGTGAGAAAGCAAGCCACCAAGTCTGGGACTTGAACTATGGTCAGCCATGTAGGAGTCTAGCGCCTTAACCACCATGCCACTTGCTGGCCCTAATGTCAATATGTTTAATTTTAGCTTTCTTGGTGGACGTGTAGTGGTATCTCCCAGTGGTTTTAATTTACATAACCCTGATGACTAACAAAGGTTCTTCATGTGTTCACTGGCCATTCTTACATATGCCTCTGTGAAATGTCCATTCAGGTCTCACTCCTTTAAAGATTGCACATGCTCATTCATTTAACCCCAAATTAAAATATAACATTATTGGGAGTATGGAGAAAGGTAAGTAAAAGAGCTGGTGAAACACAAGCTATCAAACCAAACTTAACAGAACAGAATAAAATGTTAGTAGATATCTAAAACTTTAGAATCAAACATGTATCATTAACCACCTATTTTTCTGAAACATAAAATACATAAATGCTGGGGCCAGCATTGGTGTGCTGGTTAAGGTGCTAGACTCCCACATGACCAACCATGGTTCGAATCCTGGACCCAGTGGCTTGAAACTCATGCCGGGCACATGTGCACGCGTGCCCAAAATCCCAGGAGGAGAATGGAGAAAGGATTGTGGCATGGCCATCTTCTTTGGGGGGTGATTCCTCACTTTCCTTCTCACTGTCTCTCTCAGTCTCTCTGGTGAGGTGAGTGCAAGAGTCCTATGGCAAAAACCTTTAAAAAAATAAAAAGATACATAAACACCCAAAGAAATAGTTAAAAGTACATAAAGAAGTTGCTTCTACAAGGGGGAAATAGATAAGGAATTTCCATTTTCTTGAGCACTTTGGTATTACTTCACCTTCAAAGCTATGCAAATGTCTTACTTCAATTAAAAGGAAAATTAGCAGGCCAGCTGATGGCATAATGGTGAAGTTGGTTGGATCCCACATGGTCAAATGCACAGTTCGAGTCCCAGACCCAGCTGCTTGATAAACACGCTGGGCACATGTGTGGGTATACCCCAAATCCCAACTGGAGAACAGCGCAGGGACAGCAGTGTGGCCCACCCCTGTGAGGGTGATTTCTCACTTTCCCTCCCTCTCTCTCTCAAGCACAAATGCCCTATAGCAAAAAATATAAAAAATTAAAAAGACACTCAGCAATAAATAACTTACTGAATCTATAATCACCGAGTCTGGTGTTCTTCCAGTGAAAACGAAATTCAGTTGCTTGGCTGCTCTGACTAACGCGCCTTCATCTGCGTCAAGAAAACGGGGGAGCGGACACATTCATGCTGAGAAAGAAAGGCCAACTACGAGAGAAATACATGAATGCATGCAATCTACTTTTCTCTGCAACTCAAGATTCTTTTCATCCTGGCCCCTTGCCTTGGTCCATGACACAAATACTAAGAGAAATCCCAGAGTCCGGTGATTTGGTGAGGAAGGGAACCTTTCTTTGCACACTCAGGATGGTGGTGGCTGGAGAGTCCAAAGGCCCGGGCCTGCAGCATGACTCGGGAAGCACTGAGGAAGCGGACGTGGGCAGAGAGCCAGTAGCCAACTCTGATGGGGACCAGCCTCTTCTAAGTCAAACCATAACAACCCTGTTACTGAAACCCACTTCTTTTGAAATTATGATACCAAAAAAGGAGACTCAGCTTCAGTGTCTGAGACATACACTGTCCCCAGAGTCATATTTCTGAATATTAAGTCTCATTTTAGTCACACATTCCTAAAAATAGTAAGTGACATGTACCCTCTTAGCTCAGAATATTCTCTACAAAGCCTTAAATTGCATCCTTTTTTCCTAAAAAGTTAAAGAAAATGAATGTAGTATGACCACTGAGGATTCAATGTAAATGGACTTAAATAAATTGATTTGATTATATATTAATTATTTTCATCATGTTATTATAAAATCTTTTCATTGCTGAGATTAGAGTACAGAATTTGAAGACATCTGCACAGTTTCTAACCTAACAGTGTAAGATGTAATAATTCTTATGCTTCTTTTTGGAATTTAGGACATGGTGACAGAGCACAAGTGCTGGTTTAGAATACAGTTTAAAAACATTTACTGTGAAGTTTTGCAAGGTGTGCTCCCTCTCTCCTAAGAATTTTACAATCATCAAACTGACTAGACAATTTTATCGGGTTGTTCAAAACGTCATGATGCATTTCTGCATAGAAAAACAGAAAAAAAATACGTCATGACATTTCTGACAACCCAATACAATGAAAACAGGTATAAAATCTAATCTAAATATTAAATTACTAATAAATGTACTAGTAAATATTTTGTAAAATCCCTTCAATACTTTCCTCAAATAAATGCACAGGTTCCCTGATTATCATTGTCAAAAGGAAAAAAGCAAAATTGGTATCCTAAAGTCATATAAGCTCACTATTAGACTGTCCGAAAAGTTATGGTGTGTTTTTCAGTACAAAAATGCATCATGACTTTTCTGATAATGCAACATTTTTAGGCAAATTAAGTCCTCCCTTTCCTGTCTGCTGTGTGCAAAAACAGCTTATGACTAATAGCTGATTCTTAGTTATTTATAAATGCAGAAATGATTATGAGTGCATGAAAAAGTACTATTTTTGCTTGTGAGAATCTTGTTATTCCAACTCCCAGGTAACTTAGGTCATAGACCCAAAATATTACATATTCAAAGTTATGCATTCGAATAGCACATGTACCTTTAGTTCTAAAAGCCAACTTTTCTTAATTAGCAGATACGATTTTTTTTAGCTAAGAAACATACAACTTGGCTATCTCCTTTTTTCGAATTAGATGGCCTTTTTTTCTAGACAATCTCAAATTTCCAAACGATCTCCCACAGAACCATATTGACAGTTCACGATGACTTCATTCGTACCTGGAGACGCTGCTTGATAAATAATCTTATCACCTTCTCGCTCCGGTACTGCGGTGTGGCAGACCGCCATCATCGTAAGAAATTCACATATGATTGGTGCGGTTGGCTGTGGGACGTCAACACAGAATTCAGCCCTTTTCCTTTAAACATTTGATACAGCAGTAATAGATAGAATTCATGTCTACTATTAAGAATGTTGTTGGGACCAGCAGTTAGCGTAATGGCTATGTTGCTGGACTCCCATGTAGTCAACTGTGGTTCGCGTCCTGGACCCCGTGGCTTAAAACTCACGCTGGGCACGTGTGTGTGCATGCCCAAGATCCTGAGAGGAGACTGGAAGAGAAGGGATTGCGGTGTGGCCATCCCCCCGGGGGGTGATTTCTCGCTTTCTGTCTCTCTGTCTCTCTCTGTCTTTCTGGCGAGCACATGCGCCCTATAGCAAAAACCTCTTCAAAAAAAAAAAAAAAAGTTCTGTACTTACGTAAAATAAACTACTCTGTATAGACATAATATTGATTGATAACATCAAAATTAATTTTCTAACCATCATAAATTCACGTTGGCCTCATAAAAAGATTTAGCAGTAATGAAGTTTGCTAATTATCAAAAACAATCCTGAAAGTTAAAAAACCCATATAAATGACAAAGATGGCTAAGAATATTCATTGGCTTCTACTTGTTAATGCGAAGAGCATGGTTTGATGTGGCTTACGTGATTATTTTGAAGATTTTCCAGCAATGATGAGTCGCTAAATGTTTTTTCGTCTCCCAACTGTGAGCTCTGCCTAAAGGGAAAGAAATGAAGCAAACCCGGCTTATTTCTAATTGCTCATTGGTCTATTTGTAAGGTACCTCCTAAGTCAATTGCAATGCCTGTAAACCCTTCATGAACAAAATATAATTTGTCCTGCATTCCTAAGTAAGACCTCACAGATAACATGACAGTCTCATGAAATGTATTCGAGCATTCTAAAATGTGACAGTATTTTCAATGGAATGAAAAATGATACATTACAGTCCGTTTCCTGTAGTCAACTTATACTATAGCCAAATAAAGTTTAAAAAAAATTACAAGCTATAAAAAATAAAACTGTGAAAACACCTGGAATGAAATTTCTTCCACTTCCATAGTACTTTCGATTTTTTAAGATTCTGAGCATGAAATGATAAAAACCAACATTAATCAATTCTTTAACTTTCACCAGAAGAGGACTCTTTCTTTCTGGTGATAGACATTAGATGATTGTCAAGTGAAATATAAAAACATAAATATCCAATTATTTACATATTATATCAACATGTCTCACTAGTAAATATGAGTGAATACTGGGTTGTCGGAAAAGTCGTGATATATTTTTCTGACAACTCAACACATGTAAACATCTCATATTTATGCTGTGTGTATAAAGTAGTAGAAATCATTAAAGGGTTCGATCCACAAATGTATTATATACTTCACATGAAAAAATGAAGTCGGAATTGCCTCTGTAATCGAGCTATCTTTCATATAAGTCACACAATTTACATCAAAATATTGAGATTCGAAGGAAAAATGAGAAATATTTGAGAATGTCAAAACAAAAGAGGATACTTTACAATGCACAGTGAAAATACATACAACTGAGCTTTTGTGCATAGGCCAAGAAAATTTCCCCATTAATTCACTGAGGGAAAACAGTATGTCTGATACTAAGTCATTACAATCCAGAGAGCTTTTAGTTACCATTTTCACAGGTTACAAAGAGTATTATCAATGTCAATGTGTCAAATCTTAAGGCGTTCACATGTTAGAGCCAGAAAAAGGAAATTATTAAAGAAAATAGAATGAAAAATAATAGAACATACACAGAACCTTCCACGAAATACATTTTTCTTAAAAACTAGAGGCGTGAGAACATTTATAATAAAATTCATCTTTATTTACATGCAATGGTTTTGCTCATTCTCAAAATTAACAAAATACAACTGTATTAGCATATAATAGCTCAGAATTCTTTTTTTTTTTTTTGAGAGGTTTTTGCTAAAGGGCGCGTGCGTTCACCAAAGAGAGAGAGACAGAGAGACAGAAAGAGAAATCACCTCCCAGGGGGGATGGTTATATCACAATCCCTTCTCCTCCATTCTCCCCTCAGGATCCTGGGTACGCACACACACGCCCCCGGCGTGAGTTTTAAGCCACTGGGTCTGGGACCGTGGTCGACCACATGGGAGTCCAGCAACATAGCCATTATGCTAACTGCTGGTCCCAATAGCTCAGAATTCTATAATCCTGGGAGACAGAATTGATACAATCTTATCATCTTTACTATTGTTCTAGTTTTTAAGATGGAGGGAAAAAAATCCAAGATTTTTTTTTTTAAAAGCAAGCATATATTTCTCTACTAAACATTGCCATGTATTAAAAATAGCTTATTATTTGAAACTTTAAGAAATTTCACTTATGATTATCATCATCGTCATCGTTAGAGACAAGGTCTCACCACATTGCCCATGCAGGCCTGGAACTCATAAACTTCCTGCCTAAGTCTCCCAAGTAGCTGAGACTAGGTGGAGGCCACTGTACTTGGGGAAATATCCCTAGTATTGAAAAGTATTTCAGTAACGGATCGTAGTTATACTTTCCTACTTACTCATCAGAGACATGGAAATGTCAAGGTAATAGTATTGTCACAGTAACATCTTGTTTGAGAACGCTTATTTAACTTCCAAAGAATTCCACACGAAAATGAGCTTTTGGAAATCCGAAGATATCGGGACCAGCAGTTAGCGTAATGGCTATGTCGCTGGACTCCCACGTAGTCCACCGAGGTTCGAGTCCCAGAACTGGTGGCTTAAACTAACGCCGGGCGTATGTGCGTGCGTGTCCAAGATCCCAAGAGGAGAATGGAGGGACTGCGGTGTGACCATCCCCCCTGGGGGTGATTTCTCGCTTTCTGTCTCTCTGTCTCTGTCTGTCTGGCGAGCGCATGCGTCCTTCTTGTATTTCTAGAATTATCTGCCCCTCTTGGTAACTGGCTTCATGAGTGGACTCTTGTCTGGATCTGAGGTTTGTGAGGCTCTTGGGTGGGCATCAGAAATCCTTGGGCAGGGGGCCTTTGCAGGGAACACTCTTCTATGAGGGATCTCTCTGCAGCTCTGCAGCCTGGACCTGCAGCAGGGTTCATGACCTGAACCTACGGAGGAAGTCAAGTCCTTTCGTCCTCCTTCTCATGGAAGAAATGGATCTAAGTGAGGCCTCAACTCTGCGCATAGCCCCTGGTTTCTGGCAAGTCATCAGGGGCTGTCGGCCTCTCCTTCCTCCACTGTCCTCTTGAGCTCTTCACACCAAACAGGAAAGACCGTTTTCCTTTGCCTTCTTTGGGAAACTCTACCAGGGTGGGAGCAGGTCAGAGCTTCAAGCATGCCCTAGACTCATCCTGCAGCTGTGCCTGGTGCCCTTGGCTCTAGGGGGACGTGCTTGCTCTCTCCCACCTGGCTCTGCAGGGCTGTCAGCTTCACTTTTTTCTAAGCAGAAAGCTGTAGGATTTTCAAGCAGAGTTTTTGAATTTCTTCTTCGGTTTGGCCAAACAGAATTAACCAAGGGGGCTGGCTAGGTGGAGGGATCTTCTGGATCCGGGCAGAGACGAACACAGGCATGGGCGATATCCTTAGGCTGACTGCGCGCCAAAAGGTCCATGCAAAGGGAGTCGCTCATGCGCTCCTGTGAGGCAGGGACAGTGCTGTGTGCTCACACTCCGACATGGGACAGAACCTGGTGGTTATCGTGCCACAGCTTTCACGGGGACACAGAAGGCTCGCCTGTGGAGTACCTGCCTTCTCCCCTGGCTCATCTGATTGTAAGCTGATGTCATTTAGATCCAACAGTAGAGACAGGGTTTTTATTCGCCCTTAGACGTCACAGGTGATAAAACATGTTAGATGAAGTCCCCTGCCTTGGATTCTCTTCTACTCTGGAGGCCTGGGGCCACCGGCCATTCACACATGCTCCACTGAATGCATCACAGAGGACTTGAAGTGAAAGAACCGCTGGGACAATACCTGCTTGCAGCTGTGGCCACGTGTGCAGGGGAGCAGTGTGCTGGGTGCCAGGGGGGGCTGGCAACCCACCAGCATAGGGGGTCTTCACGTAGGTAATGAGTATCCTCAACTGGGACAGTGTGAAGTAGGGCTTGGGGTAAAGCAGGAGACCAGGCTCCAAGGTGACACACCCCATGGAGGACAGCCTGTCCCCACTCGGTACCCTCTGTAACTCAGGGTCCGCACGCTCCCGTCCTGCACTGAGCTCAGGACGCTCTGCTGCCTGCAGGCTCTCTGGTCCTGCAGGCCTGGCTTGTAATGCTCTGTTATTCAGCTGGCACCTCCTGCTTTTCCTGGCACGTCTGGTTCCAAATCAAACTTCCTCATAAGGAGATTTAATTTTTTTTTTTTAATTCAGAATCAAGTGAAGTCCAAGCATATTAACAAATGACTGAAATCAATTAAGATTATTTTGGTTAGATGTCGGTTTTCACCCAGGTCATGAGGCCTGGTTTTCTGTGTGACCCAAAGAATTTCCAAAGGCGATGAGGAAAAAAGGCATTCCAGTGTGGTTCTGTGAACTGGCAGCATCCCTGGAATACATAAATGACCTGCCAAGGTGATGACTTTGAAGACGAGCACTAATTTGGATGTGTGAGAGCTCATCATCATACCATCACAGCTGGAAGAATGTTTTAGTGAGCCTCGCTTTTGCTGCAGAATAAATAAATACCGCTCACTTCATACATAATTGAAGACCAGAGTGAAATGAGAAAATAAGGACAGCTAGTAATAGTACTTTCTCCTGGGCGCGTGCGCTTGCCAGAGAGAGACAGAGAGACAGAGAGACAGAAAGCAAGAAATCACCCCCCAGCGGGATGGCTACGCCGCAATCCCTTCTCCTCCATTCTCCTCTCGGGATCTCTGGCATGCACACACATGCGCCCAGCATGAGATTAAGCCACAGGGTCCGGGACTCGAACCGCAGTCGACTACATAGGAGTTTAGTGACATAGCCACTACGCCAACTGCTGGTCCCTCTCCTGGCATTTTAATAATACTAAAAAACCCAGTGAAATGAAGAACCACAAACACTTCAAGATAACCCTTCTGTAGAATCACCCTCACTTGGCATCTACTTAACAAATGATCAGAAAGGTTAGCACAGAATGAAATTAAATAGTCTACAAAGACTAAAATAGGGACCAGAGGGTGGCGTAGTGGTTAAGACGCTGGACTCCCACATTGTTAAGCATCGTTCAAGTCCCTGACCCAGTGGTTTGAAACTCACACCAGGTGTGTGTGCATGTGTGCCCAAAATCCTAAGAAGAGAACAGAGGTGAAGGGGGCATGGCATGGCCATCCCCCCTGCGGGGTGATTTCTCTGTCTTTCTGGTGAGCACACACGCCCTATAGCAAAAATCTCTTGAAAAAAAAAAAAAAGAAAGATTAAAATAATATGCAATCTGCGATTTGTTTCAGAATAATAGTGGGGAAGAGGCTCAAACAGACGTTGACCCTGTGCGCCTATTACAAAAGAAGATGAAAGGGTACGTCTACCAATTTTTGTTTCTGTTTAAATTGTTCCACAGTGAAAGTTATATATATATATAAAGAAACTGTTAGGAAAATAAATAGTTTTGGAAAAATATGAATATTTTAGAGCTAAGTAGATGTTGAGAATAAATTATTTTTTTCTTCTCTCTTTTCTTCCTTTTCTTTTGAGAGGTTTTTGCTATAGGGCACGTGTGCTCACCAGAAAGACAGA